TGGTTGGACTTGGTGGTCCAATGGTTGGACTTGATCCTGTGGTTGGACTCCATGATCCAATGGTTGGATCCAATGATTGGACTCCATGGTCCAATGCTTGGACTCCATGATCCAGTGGTTGGACTCCACGATCCAATGGTTGGACTTGATTCAATGATTGGACTCTGATCCAGTGGTTGGACTCCATGATCCAGTGGTTGGACTCTGATCCAGTGGTTGGACTTGATCCAGTGGTTGGACTTGGTGATCCAATGGTTGGACTCCATGATTTGGTGGTTGAACTTGATTCAATGGTTGGACTCCATGATCCAGTGGTTGGATCCAATGATTGGACTCCATGATGCAATGCTTGGACTCCATGATCCAGTGGTTGGACTCCATGATCCAGTGGTTGGACTCCATGATCCAGTGGTTGGACTTGATCTAGTAGTTGGACTCTGATGCAGTGGTCGGATGCCATGGTCCGAGGGTTGGAATCCGTGATCCAATGGTTCCATTTGATCCTGTGGTTGGATTCTATGGTCCAATGGTTGGACTTGATTCAATGATTGGACTCTGATCCAGTGGTTGGACTCCAGGATCCAATGGTTGGATTCTGATCCAATGGTTGGACTTGATCCAGTGGTTGGGCTCCATGATCCAGTGGTTGGATCCAATGGTTGGACTCCATGATCCAGTGTTTGGATCCAATGGTTGGACTCCATGATCCAGTGGCTGGACTTGATCCAATGGTTGGACTCCATGGTCCAATGGTTGGACTCGGTCATCCAGGGTTGGACTTGATCCAGTGGTTGGATTTGATCCCACAGTTGGATTGATGATCCAGCAGTTGGATTCATGGTCCAGTGATTGGACTCAGTGATCCAGTGCTTGGACTTGATCCAGTAATTGGATTTGGTGCTCTGATGGTTGGATTTGGTGATCCAGTGGTTGGATTTGGTGATGTGACGGTTGGATTTGGTGATGTGACGGTTGGATTTGGTGATGTGATGGTTGGATTTGGTG